AAAGTAATGAGTAGGAAGTTTGGGCAAACACATGTTTGAAGGCATGTTATTGACACATCTTCTATAAAGCATACATATTCTGGAAAGTTTTAACTCACTTTTCTTTTTTTTATGAGGTTTTAACCTACTCTTTTGGTGTATGACAATATAATGTTTATTTTTCTTATGTAGTTATAATTTGATTGGCAGAAGTAACACTAACTGGTGTGCATTTTAATTTTAATTTCTTTTAAATTGCAGAGCATTGGCTGGTGGGCATTATTTGATATTTATTTATTTTTATATATTTGATTTGTTTGGAATTGTAGAGTATAGTCTATTAAATATATTTTTATAATTGAATTTTAATCTTAAATTTAAATAGTGTTGCGATTACAATTATATTATAATCCTAACATTATTTACACTGTACCTTCAGGTACTGACATACGCTAGTATATATATATAATGGGGAGTTGGATTGTCTGTTGTGGTTACCTACAGTGGCTCCTGCGGCGGTCCAAAATGATGCCATTTTGGACCTTTTTTTTTCCTCATTCTTTTTCTTTTGATCCTCTTTTTCTTCTCTCTTAGCTCTCAAATCAAAGACAACGACAACGACAACGGCAACGGTCATGAGCCCCTCCCAATGCCAGCGACGATGGTGCAGTAACAACGACAACGACCATCCCCACCCTCACCCGCTCTTTCCCAACCCCTCCCAATGCCATTGCCGTCGAGCCGTGACTACCACGAGCCCCTTTTTCTTTATTTCTATCTCAATCTCGGCTTGCCATCACCAGATCGGCTACACTCTATCTCGACGCTCTCCTCCTCCTCCTACTCTTCTTTTCTTCTTTTTCACTAAAATCAACCACCTTCACTAAAATCAATCCACATTCAGTGATTTGGAAAGAATCCCCAAACACACAAATCAAGAAATCAAACAAATCAAACCCACAACCACAATACTAAAACCCCAAAACCAACCTAACGAAAATGATTAATTTCAACAAACAAATGATCTATTGGTTGCTATGATTTGTGGAACCCTTCTTGGAATCATCCTAAAATTGTTTTTATAATGCAGTTTTCTTGTTTTTAACTTTTAGCATCAAGAAATGTGAAAAGTCATAGGCTAAGAGCCCAACTCCATCAATTTTGGTTCGAAGAATTTAATAGATGTGATTTCTTTCGATGAAGAGAGAGAGAGGTTGAGGAACTTGACAGTTTCTTCTTCTCAAAATTTATTTTATTTTTTTTAAAGTTTCACCCCAAAACGACGTCGTTTTGGGGCATAGCAGGAAACCACGGCAAGAAACTAAGGCAGAAGATCCAGACTCGTCTAATGGGTAGTTTGGTCCTTTTACACTAGCTTGTCCTTATGGACAAAGTGTTTTAGTACTTGGACCTACGGATAACAAAAATTTTAATTTGGAGTTTTGACCTAAGCACCCTTGATTTTCCTTTTTAATATCATTTTTCAATTATTCATACATATTAGATATAAAATATATAAAATTTAAATTAAATATAACTTAAATAAAAAAAATACTACTTATATATATATATATATATATATATATCTATACTATATATATAACCAAATGTAGTGATCTTTTAAAAAATTTCAAATTCTCAATCCTAACATCTCATTAAACTGTTTTCTAGGTGGCACATCTATTCTTTTCTCATTCTATTTTCCTATTTTTTCTTCTTTTTTAATATATTTTGTTTCACTTTTTAATTACTTAGGGCATGGATATATATAATATCATATGGATAGAATTTTTTTCAAAATATTTATAAATAAAAGATGAGTTTGACTCTAATTCAAATTCCTGCATCAAATTTATATCCTACTCAAAGATATTTCAAAAAAAAATAAATAAATCAAACTATAAATCTCAAAACCTTGCTTCCATGACAATATGAAATTGGGCAAAAATATTGGAGAACAGAAGAACCCTGCAAAGAAATTAAACAGGTGATTTAACCAATTTTACAAGATTTTTCTTATGTGAAAAGAAATATATATTTGAAATCTCATATTATGTTTTTTGCTTTATTTTTTCTTTTGCAGTTTTTTTTTTTTGTTTGTTTGTTTTAGTTTTGGTTTATTTTGTGTATTTAATTTTTTTTTCTCCATAATCTAAGTTAGTTGTTGAAATTATAATAATGTAGTAGATGCGTTTATGCCTCCAAAATTTATTATTCATTTTTTTAAAATTTTACAACAACAAGGTATAGAGAAAAAAAGAAGAAGAAAAAAAGTAGCAATGGCAACAAAGGACTAAAAGACCAATACAAAGAGTGATGTTTTGTGATGCAGTTGGAGTTTACCCACTTTTTTTTAGAAAAAATGTACCAATTGAGAAGAGTATTTGGAACATACTCACGAGTTTGAAAGAAGTTTTTATTCAATCTCATTTATTTTTTATTATATTTTGTTCTTCAATTATATTAATTTATGTGTTCGATTTTGTTGTAATATATAAGGAGGGCACTCAATTTAAATTCAAACGTAAATAAACTTAATTATGCAGTAGCTCTAAAATATTTTTGCTTATATTCTTATTTTTTTTATTTGAGATCTTCATGAGTTTAAATTTGATTCTTTGCATATATGTAGTGAGTAGGATTAAGTTTTTAAATGATAAATTTCTCTTTTGCAGTAAAAAGTTAAATTATATTAATTTATGTGTTCGATTTTGTTGTAATATATAAGGAGGGCACTCAATTTAAATTCAAACGTAAATAAACTTAATTATGTAGTAGCTCTAAAATATTTTTGCTTATATTCTTATTTTTTTTATTTGAGATCTTCATGAGTTTAAATTTGATTCTTTTCATATATGTAGTGAGTAGGATTAAGTTTTTAAATGATAAATTCTCTTTTGCAGTAAAAAGTTAACTGCACAAAGGAATATTTGAAGCACAAGATTGGATTTCAAAATCCTTAATGAATATACAAATAAATTACTTCGTTTTCAACTCATAATACTCTTTATATATATATATATATAACGAAAATTAATTGTAGATAAGGTCATTTGGATCCATTCGAAGAGCAAAAACTCAATATACATGTTTTTTACTTAATTAATATTTAATAGTTAATTTCAATTATATTATTGAATGTCGTTTAATTTTTAAACAGATTGGATACAATACATGAAAACTTCGATAAAAGTTTGGTTAATTTCTAATAAACAAAATTATTATTCAACTATGTTTGTATTGAAATTATAAACACATTACATATTAATGATCAAAATTTTAAAATTTAATTTGAATAAATATGTTTTATGTGTTTAGACAAAAATCATAAGTAAGAAATTTTTTTCTATGATTGTTGAATTTTATATTCATATGTCACTGCCACAGAAATATTCAAATCATGCTCGTTCTATGGTTAAGACTTTATTATTTAAAATAAATGATTATATTATCATATAACATAAAGTAAAAATAAAACAAACTGAGATGTTAAAAAAAAAAGTGATGCTATTTTTTTTTTTATTATTTAGTAGCTTCAAAATAAGAAAGTTGTTGAAATTTATAGGTTATAGACACAAAACAAATTTTTTTAAAAAAAATAAAAAAGCGATCCTTGAATTTTGTTTGTAATTAAATAGCTTTAGTATACAAAAACTGTTAAAAATAGAGTTAAAATTTGTATAATAAGATAACATAAAGGGAAAATTGGTCTAAGGTCCATCTCCTAATTTTAGTAATGGAAGAGATCCACAATATTATTTTATGATATCCAAGGTCCCTCTTCCTCTTTCGTACGCAACAATTTCTTCTTCCCTCTCTCCGATTCACTGAGATCGAAGTTTCGGAATAATCATCACTTCTCGGAAGCTTCGTGATCTTAGCCGTTTCGACCTCTTTGCAACTCAAATCAACGTTGAGATCCAACATCTCTGTCTCTGTCTCTCTAAGTTTAGAGTTGTTTGTGATAGAGATCTTGAATTAGAGAGTCTGAGAGTGATTTGAAGGTTGTAGAGAGCATTGATATATTTGAGTTTGAGGAAACGCAATCAGAATTAGAAGAAGAGTTTCAATTCTCACTAGACCAACTTCTCTCATATGACTAAATAACTAGATCATGGATACAAATTGGTTTAATGGAACAACCATGAATCACAGACCCACCATGAATCACAAGCCAACCAATGGGGGGAGCTTTCTCTATCTAGATACTAGAGAGAGAAGTAAGATCCTACTTTCTGGGATTTTCTCTGGGTTGAGGACCCTAGCATTAACTGGACTTAATTTTCTGGAATTGTTTTGGGCTTAAGTTATTTTGTGATGAGAGAAGTTCTTTTGAATTGAAACATTTGTCTAAATACACGTGACTACTATATATATATATATATATATATATATTTGAAGTTTTCTTTGTTGACATTGCAAACCTTTTTGTCAGACTGCTTGACATGGCCATCATTAATGCAGCTGGCTGATTGTTCATTCAGAGAAACAGAAGAGGTAGCTGTCAAAACAATATTTTTACCTCATCTCTGAATCTCTCAAGAGTTTCATGTTGGTGCTTGACTATGGGAAATAGTGAAGAGACCAGGCCTTCTAAGTCCGAGAAATCATCTTCACCTCCATCGGTAAGCAAGTGTTTCAGGGCAAATGTTTTGGACTTCCTTATTTTGTTGGGTGTCTACAATTTTCTGTTATCACCACTTGATGTTGATTACTGAGTATTGATCATTCCTTTTCTATTGACAGGATCATACCAACATTCATGTTTATCCTGATTGGGCAGCCATGCAGGTTTTTCATTTGATGCATGCTCTTATCGAACACAAAAAATCAAGTTATCATGTTCCAATGAATTCTATGTTTAAGTAGTGATTCAAGATAGTTTGTTGCATCTTCAAGCATACTTTGGCGACAGAGTGACTGTATCACCGCATTTTAACTCAGCTATTGCATCTGGTCATGCCCAGAGAAATTCTTTGGGTTGAGAGTATTTCATCTACAAATCCATCCAATGTGAAAGTTGTTCTCTAAGCCTAAAAGGTTTGTGTTTCAGGTTTATGGAGCAAAGGACAAAAATGACATAAATAGAAGTTCTCATGAACCACACGATCCCAGTAATGGATATGACTTACATATACCTACTTGTCTCCAGCTATGCCAACCACAGCAAAAAGACGGTGAAACACCGGAAAAAGCAGCAGATCTAGGGTAACCATTCTCCTAAGTATTCTAAATAATTTAAACTGAAACTAACAGTACACAACCATATTAATTTAACATTGACCCTCACATGTCCTTCCAAATCACAACAGATTACAACTACAATAACAAAGCAAGCGGGAACAAGGTGTTTGGCGTAGCAGATAGGAACCTTGGTGGGCAGTTGGGGGTTCGACGATCCCACGCCCCTCTCCTCTCCCCTTAAGATATATATATGATGTTCTTTCCGTATCCAGAAAAAAAATGCAAGCAAAGACGACTGTGGAGATGATAGTCAATTCCATTAATGACTTGGCGCAGAGTGACAAAAATTATTGTTTATCATCAACCTCCTGTGTGGAAGATAGTGGAAAAGAGACATTCAGCATAAACACCATCAGATTTGGTAAGATAAGATACTCGAAATAAACTTTTAGGATTTCTCTGATATGATCAACCACCCACTTTATTTATGTAACATTTGGAAATAGTAAAAATTATTTCATGGGCCAGATAGTATTTTAGATGTCCTCAATATCTTTGTTATCAAGATTTATCAAACAAACCCAGTAGTTGACTTCTATGATAAGGATATAGAAAAGTTCTCTCCACACATTCCAACATTAGCATCAATGGCATCTCAATATGGAAGTCCTACAAGGGCTTAAAAATGAGAAGATTGCATCACTTTGAAAATTTGAGCAGTAGAGTCTCAAATTCTTCCACAGGGGCGTGAAAAGCACATAATCCAATTTATGGAGAACAATTAACATGTTTCAAGCTACAAATTTTGACAATAACCCCACTTAATGATTATGGTGTGCACAAATTCATCAACAAATATAGTTGTAATGGAGATGCATAAGCACACAACCATGCAGGAACATCACTAATTGACACAAAGACGCACAATGAACCATAAATGTATATACTATACATTACATTATAAG